AAAAAAAAAAAAAAGAGTATTTCTGCAATGTAATTTTTAATGACTGCCAAGTATTGCCTTATATGGGGATGTCATTATTTAACAAATTCTGATGGTTAGATATTTTTTTGCTAAACCACATTGAACACCCTTGTAGCTCAGCCTCTGTGTACACCTTTTTTGTCAAGTTAAACCTCCTGGAAGAGAAACTGCCAACTCAGAAGGCAGAATCTTGAAGTTTTTGCTACATTTTGCCAAAATGATCACAATTGTTTTATCAGTTTACAAGTTTCATTCTAAAATTATTGTCATACTTATTGTGGAAAATCTGGGACATACAGTAAAGCATAAAAAAACTAACCAGGCATGGTAGTACATGCCTGTAATCACGGATACTTGGGAGGCTGAGGCAGGAGGACTGCTTACACCCAGGCATTCAAATCCAGCCTGAGCAACACCGCGAGATATTGTCTTGTCTTCAAAAAGAAATAAATCTCTTACAATCTTTCCACCCAAGGATAACACTTTTAGCATTTTGATATATGTCCTAATTTGTTATGCTTATAAATTTACAAAATTTGCAATATACATAAGGATGTATCATTTTTATCCCACATGATTAAGTGTATTTGGACCTTTGGGCAGCTGCTAAATCATGCCACGTGGATGAGGCTCCATTCTTTGTCCATTATTCTCCTGTTAGCTGCGTACATTGTTTCTCAGTTATCCCTTACAGCCCTAGCACTGAAATGAACAACCTTCTCCCACCCTTTACACCAACTTCTGAGCCCCTTTAGCGTCACACCCAGAACTTCACCTTTCAAAAATCTGGTACTTTTTTCTTCTCCATGTCACTCTTACTCAGTCTTAAGAATCCCAGCCCTACATTAGTGTTCCCATTTTACTTGTGTAGCCCCTCAGTTAAGATTGCAGGGCTGGGTGGCCTAGTGACTTGCTCACTCTGCCTTCACCGCCAGTCAGCCGACGTTCAGAGGCACCATCCCTCCCCGCGCACGCGCTGTAGCTCTTCCCGGGCTTGCTGTTTGCAGAGGCTAGGTTAGGTTACCAAATTCCAGTCCACCACTCTTAAATGCTGCCTTCCAATTCCGAGTCCTCCTTATCTCTCGTCCACCTTTAAAGCCCACACACCTCCCCTCCCTCCCTCTCAGTGTTCCACCCTCCTCGGCTAGGCCCCCCCTCCCTCCGCTTCCCGGCTCCCCGTTTGCCATTTCCGGTCTCCCTGTACTTTATGTTAGTGAACGCACATGCCACCAGGGGGAGCCGTGTGTCCTTACTCCGAAAAACGTGACAAATCCTGCGGAACAAAATGCACCCAGGCCAGAGGCAACCTTAGCAGTCTCCTGGCCCACCTCCCTGGTGTCAGATGAGAAACAGAGACACGGAGGGAAGTGACTTCCTCACGGTCACACAGCTGTACATTTTAAAAAGAGAAAACAAGCCAGCAGTCAGGAGATTTAAATGGATTGGAATCAACCATGTTGACCCACTAACCGGACATTTTCATGAGAGGTTTGTTTTTAAGAATAAAGTGACCAGGGGCTCTTGTTTTTAAGAATAAAGTGACCAAGAGCTTTACAGGGTTTGTTCTGTGGAGAAAGAAGTAGATCGATTATTTTTACATTCCCTCGCTGTTCAGCAAGTATTCATCATGTACCTGCGTGTGCCACACCCCATGGATATAGCCAGTAGCTAGTCCTTTCCCCTCAGAAGGACCTAACTGAGCAGACTTAATCAGCAGACCCTGGCTCAGCTCCTGTTCAGCTCCTGTATCAGCACCTTAGCTGTGTGATCTTGGCAAGCCGTCTAACCTCCCTGTGTCTCTGATTCTTTATCTAAAGAATAAAGTTATTATATGCGAGAATTAAGAATAATGCTTGCTAAAGCCCTAAGCACACAACTTTGGGCCATAGTAAGGCCTGAAGAAGTAGTTGCCTAATAATTTACTAAATTTCTGGTTGAAATTAGACCTGTCTTTCCTGTCTTGATTGGAAGACAGTTGGGTTTTCTGATTAAATGTGTGTCTCTACAAGATCACACCCAGACGTACTTTTTTATTCTTTTTTAACTTTTCCAATGGATGTGATTATCTTCTGTGCTCTGTCTCTTCTCATTCTAGGTGATGGGCTTTGGCCTCTACCTGATGGATGGAAATGTCAGTAACATTTACAAACTGGATGCCAAGAAGAGAATCAATCTTAGCAAAATTGATAAGTTTTTTAAGGTCAGCCACTGGGACTGGGGTAGGGCAGAGGCTGGGGTCATCAGAACCAAGATTTTTGGGGGGAAAGGAATGAAATTAGGCAGAAAACTGTGGAGCTTATTAATTGAGCTGTAGTTCCAAAGATCCCAAGAGGAAGCATGTAAAATGAATGACAGGGCCTCCAACTGCCATTAGTAGAGGAATTTTCTGGAAGGCTACAAGCTAGAGGTGGCTCTGAGTCTCAGGATTCAGCTAGGATTTGTCTGGGAGGCCCTCTGAGTCTTGTTTTCTTCTTCTGCAATCTTTTATCACCTAAGGAAAGATGTGCCTACTACAGTTTCCAGTATAAATCAGAGCTTTAATCATAGGGTGATTAAAGACTGGACGTTGGAGACCACCTTAGCTTGCCCTCACTTCTGGGCAGAATTTCTCATCAGCATCTGTCATACACACAGTTAATTCCAGTGCCTCCAAGATTTGATCTTTGGCCCAAGATCTTTAAAAACTTGCAGTTAAACTAAGCCTTTGAGATTTTTGAAAGGGGAGATTATTATACTTTGAAATTCCATGTCATCAGTTTATTCTAACATTAGGCACTGGAGGCATGGAGCAGGCCTGAAAGGTCAGACATGCTAATGCCCAGCTTACCATGAACAACAAAACCCCTTAAATGTAAAGTCTGGGTCCCACTGACTTTTCAAGATGAAGGGCAACAGAGGTCACCAGGAAGAGACCTGTGGCTTTTCTTCGCTTCCTTTCAAAGATCGAAACTTTTACTTTTCTCTAGGGTTGCCCCAGATGAAAACAGGACTTATCTTGGGGGGAGACCCTTGCAACAGCTGCCTTAAATCAGCATGAACAAGATGAAGATAGCACAGAAGAATACAACCCCTCCACAGACAGGCCTGGGTTTAAGTCTGGCTTTGCCACTTACTAGCTGGATGGCTTTGGGAAGGTCACCAAATTGCCTTGAAACTGAGTTCGTAGTCTGAAAAAATATGAGTGTTAGGATTCTCTCAGGATTTAATAGGATTCCATAGGTGAGTCAGAGGCCTGGGTTATGATCCTGGCTCCTTAAAATCTAGCTGGTCTTTGTGAAAATTCACATAGACTGTTCAAGCTTTAGTTTCTTCATCTGTGAAGTGGGTGTGATAATAGCACTGACTTCACAGGGTTATTATATGGTTTGAGATGTGTTTTAAAGTGCTTGGCATAGTACCTAGTGCATGAGAAGCAGACATTAAATAGTAGCCTCCCCTCCGTTTGCCTGGTCTTTGCTTGGGAGTTGTCTGCCCTCTGGGTGTTAGGTATTACTGTGGTTTTAATCTTTCATGGTGTGGGCCTTCTCAGGGAGGCCATGCCCAGCCAGCAGCTCTCAGACACTCAATTCTAATATAGTCATCAGTAGCACTGAGGATCTTCTAAGCTGGGGAACAGTGGAGCAGAAAGGGCCTTGCACTGGGAGGCAGGCCCCCTGGTCTTGGCTTTCATTCATTCCATTGGCCAGTGACCTTGGACAAGCCACTTTGCCTTGTTGGGCTCAGTTGCCTGGAGCACAGTGTTGGCTGGAGGCAGAGGAGGGCCTCCTTTTGTTTCCCCCCACAGGGTCACACTGTGGCCCCATCAGAAGCAGAAACTAGGGGCAGCCCCCAGGCCCACACGGAGGTCTGCCTCCCCCACGGGGTGGCAGTGAAGGCCACCGCCTGCCGCCCTCGGCGTCTCACACGCTGTGTTTGCTTCCTTTGCAGCAGCTGCAGGTGGTGCCCCTTTTCGGCGACATGCAGATAGAGCTGGCCAGATACATTAAGACCAGTGCTCACTATGAAGAGAACAAGTCCAAGTGAGTGCCTGCCGTAATGTCTCTCGGCTCCCGCGAGGATGCCCAGCCTGGGCAGGGAGCCAAGGGGCCACTTCAGCCCCTCCTCCCTCCCCAGAGCCCTGGGCAGGTGGAATCTGTCACAACACTGGTATTGGCCAGAGGGGCGCTGCAGGGGGTGCTCTGGGCCCTTTTGTGTCCATCCTTTACTACCAGGTTCAAAAGGGCTTAGAGCACAGCCATGCCCCTTGTCCAGCCCAGCAGTGACTGGTATATCCCGTCAGTGGGACAGCAAGTCCCTTCTCCTTCCCATAAGAAGTGGGGAGGAGTGCCTGGCCCTCCGTGGGCCGAGAGGTGGTATTTTTTCTCACTCGATCCCCTCCTCTCGTGTTGTGGCCATGTAGTATGTCCACTGTGGAGTGTGGGGTCTGGACGGTCCCAAAGAAGTAGGTTGACAGCTTCACCTTGGGGCTCTTTATAAACCACGGTCCCAGGTAACCTGTGTGATGGCCTGGGGTGTCAGTGCCTCACAGGAGCTGGGGTGCATCTGGCTCTTCTTCGGCCACCCCTTAGATCTCTGAGGCTGTTAAGAGGTTCCTTCTGTATGTGTCTTGCCCAGAGTTGGGTGGATGGGCCTTTCCATACAGAGGGGAACTGGCATCCCTTATTCAAGGGCGAGGGTTGCAGTGGCTTGAAAAGATACAGATGGCACACCCTTGAAGTGGAGCCGCTATGACTGTGTTTCCCCAAGGATAGCCAATTTAGTCTTTTATAACCCTCTGGCTACTAGTATGTGAAGAGGTTTTATAGGAAAAGCAAGGCGTAGAGAGTGCTGGGCTCATTTGCTCTCTTTCCCCTGTATTACTTCTCTACTGCCTGAAGTTGGTGGGGTAACCAGGGCAGGGTGTCAGGTTCGAGGGGTGGTGTGCTCCATCTCTGCACAAGTAACTCAAAACAAAACTGACACCAAAAAGTAAGCCCAAGGAAGGCCATCACCACTCCCTTGTTCTCATGAGAACTACTTCAGGGACCCTTTTGAAACACTAAGTTCTCCCCAGATCGTGTTTCTGTCTTGGTTGGTGTTCATGCTTAGACTCTGCTGGGTCGCCAGCACCTAATGGCAAGAGAGGGTGAAGGCAGTTTTTTTTTTACCCCTCTGGGGGATAGAGAGTGAAGATAGAGAGTTCATTTACTTCCTCCACAATTTAGGATGGTTTTCCCAATGATGTTTATTTGAAAAGAGTTGAGGATTAAGAAGAGAGAGAGGGAGAGGAGGGGAGAGAGTAGATAGAAAGAGAGGAGATGGGGGAGGGAGGGAAGAAGAAAGAGAGGCTGGGTGGAAGGAGAGGGGCCAGCCATGCAAGTCAGAATGATCATGGCTTCTCTCTCCATGGGGTGCTCCCACTTGCCAGTCCCTATTGGAAAAGAGGCACAATCCTATTTAGGTTTCCCTAGTCCTGCCCCAAAGGCCCCTCTAAGCCGGATTGAACTGCGTTGTGTTAGCACTGTTAAGTCGGCAGATGGGCTTGGGGAGAGGGAGGTTGCCCACCTTGCTTTTTTTTTTGCTTGGATTCTGGCCCTTTACAGCCCTAGAGGGGCTGTGGCTTCTTCCCTCTCATATTACTGGTAAGTATTATGGACTCCACTCCTTGAAAGGCCTGTGACTGGGTCTTAGAGGAGGCTGGCCCCAAGGAAGAGGAGGAAGGACCACTCCACTAGGCTTGCGGCCCCCACAGCGTTGTACTTAGTGGGCTCCCTGGCTGAAAGTTTCCTGGGGTGCCTTTTGGTGCCATCTGGGGGAATCTGGCAAAGTTGGGTGAGAGTCTCAAGCCTGTCCCACCCACACTCCTGGGGTGGAGCCCCACTCCAACCCCCTGATTGTCTACCTAGGTGGACGTGCACCCAGAGCAGCATCAGCCCCCAGTACAACATCTGCGAGCAGATGGTTCAGATCCGGGATGACCACATCCGCTTCATCTCTGAACTTGCACGCTACAGCAACAGTGAGGTGGGCATGTCTGGCTGCTGGGATGTGGGGAGTGTGGGCCCAGGACCAAGAGGGTGAGGACGTGAACCCATGGAGAGCAAGAGTGAGGTACACGTCGGAGGCAGGAGAGCATGAAATTAAGAGACACACTGAGATTAATGCTGGTTCTGTTGTTGCCCTTTGCAAGTTATTTAACAATCTCTGAGCCTCACTTTCCTTATCTGTGTGATGAGAGTTGTAATAGTATCTATTCTGAAAGGTTCATTGAGAGGATTAAATGATACAGTGCCTGGAGCATGTGCTGGGCCTAGTAATTGTTAGTTCTTACTGCACAGGACCCAACCCACCTCCACCCTGGACTGCAAGAGGAACTGAATTCTGATCACTCATCCTTATAACACCATCTGAACCTGTCTAAACTACAAGATAATAAATGGTCGTTGCAAAAAAGTCAGCAGTGCAGTTAGCAAAAGAAGGAGGCCATAAAAATCTTCTGTAATCTCAATCAATAGTTAACGTTTCAATGAATTTTTCTTTTCTTCTAAATTTTTTTAAAATATGGAAAGAAGATCCATGCATAAACCTTAAAATAAATACAGATATGCAAAAGAAGCGAAAATCGGATAAAATCCTATTATTTCAGAACCAACTATGATTAATATTTGGAGAGAGATATATGCTTCTGGACCTCATCTTATATACACTCTTCCAGTATACCTGTCTGATAAACACAGGACCCCTGACTCGAATTCCTTTATTCCCTAGCGATCACAGATGGCACTGTTCTGCCCTGGTTTGCTCCTGGCTTACCATGTGACTAGCGGTCATAGTGATCATGCCTTACAAACCCAAACTCAGGAAACGTCTTTGATCACAGAGCAACATATTGGAAAAGGGGACAGTCTGACAAATGCAGCAACGTGTTCATTAGACCAGTGGCCCACATGGCCCAGGGTCAAGCCTAAACCTTACCTTTCTTAACTACCTGTCTCAATCAACTGAACTGAAGCTACAGGAATAACTTCTCTTAAATACTAGGGCTCCTTAATTCCTAGCCAGATTTTGGTGTGGTCAAAGAGTGAGTCTGGCCAAGAATATTTTTTTTTTAATTATATGCTTTATACACGTGTATAAACAGTCAATTCTCATCATGGTTGTTATGTTCTATAAAGAAGCCACCACATCTGAATTAGCGAATACTGAATCATCATTCTAAGGAAAAAATACAGATTTACATTCCTTTGAGCCTCTGGTCCTATTTTTGTCAACCAATCAGTGTATTATATAGCCTTGCATTCCATATGCTCTGTTTAAGGACACTTTGCATGATATATATTGTTGATTTACTAACATTAACTCAAGGCCAACAGCACTGTAACTTGTGCTTTTATCTAAAGCAGGTATTTTTTTCATCAGGCGTGTTACATCTTTCTTGAACGTAAGAACGCCATTAGGGCACATTAACCCTAAGCTTGGGAGCCATTTTGAATTGTGGAATCACAAATAAAAAGCTCAGAAATGTGGACAATGTGGCACTAATTAGACCACAAAGAGGACCTTTGTTTAGTGTGAGGGCCGAAACCAGATGGCAGAGAGTCACCTTGTCTGATCTCATCTGGGAATGTGCACATGTCTACAGATGACTGAGAATTTGTTGCACATGTTGATTTGGGGGTCACAAATAAATTTTAACAAGCAGGTGAATTCAAAAATACAGAATCCCCCCAGAACGAAGACTGGCTGTATCTACATGCTTAGACCCATGCACATACGTCTGTGCATATACACACACTCGTATGTGTCATATTGCATTGTGGTGCTTTTCAATCAGTGAGCTGTATTTAATGGATGAGTTGTGAAATCAATTTAGTGGTTTGTGATCAGCAGTTTTACATGAAATAGAACAAGAAATCAAGGAATCTCATGCAGTAAGGGTAAAATATTGTTGCATACATATATTTAATCTCTCTAGTAAGTGTGTGTGCCTGCATTACCATGCAGTGTGCACTTACTACTGCAAATATAGTCCAAAAAGTTAGCAAGGTGCTTCCCTGCAGTATACTGGGGGGAGGGGGGGAATGAGTGGGGCTCTGGCATTGCACAACCTGAATTTGAACCCTCAACCATTTAGGAGCCATGTGGCCTTCAGCAAGACACTTGTCTGAGCCCCAGTTTGTCTGTCATGGGGATATAATACTAGAACTTCTCTGTAGTATTTTTGGGGGGAATTGATGCAATGCTGTATTACATTACAGTGCCAGGCTTTGACAGACAGTGAGTGTGATAGTCCATGTTCCACAGGTGGTGACGGGCTCGGGGCTGGACAGCCAGAAATCAGATGAGGAGTATCGGGAGCTCTTCGACCTGGCCCTGCGGGGCCTGCAGCTTCTGTCCAAGTGGAGTGCCCACGTCATGGAGGTGGTAGGTGTCCCTCGGGTGGGAGGTCTCATGCTGACCCCTGTCCCCTTACAATCTGCCTCTGTCTCTCCCTGGCATTCTTTTTTAAACAGCTTTTTGTGGAGATCTAATTCATATACCATACCATTTATCCACCATAAAGTGTGAGTTTATTGGTTTTGAATATATTCACAGATTTGTGCCAACCATAGGCAAATTTAGAACATTTTCATTGCTTCAATAAAAAACCATGAATTATCCCTGTAGCCCTAAGCAGTCTGCTTTCTCTCTCTATAGGTTTTCTTATTCTAGATGTTTCACATAAATGTAATATGATCATATAATATGTGTATTTTCTATCTGGATTCTTCTAGCTCACATGTTTTCAAGGTTTATCCATGTTTTAGCATGATCAGGCCTTCCTCTGTTACCTTTTTATGGCTGGATAATATTCCATCGCATGGGCAGGCCACATTTTGTAGATTCCCTCATCAGTGGATTGTTCCCCCTCTCTGCAGTACTCTTGGAAGCTGGTTCACCCCACAGACAAGTTCTGCAACAAGGACTGCCCTGGCACAGCGGAGGAGTATGAGAGAGCCACACGCTACAATTACACCAGTGAGGAGAAGTTCGCCTTCGTGGAGGTAGGTGCCGGCTCCCTGCAGCTCCTCCCTCCCTCTCCGACCCAGCTGGTTGTGAGCAAGATGCCAGGGTCGGTCCTCCGCCTGGGCATTACCTCTCCCCCTCTCCCACTGGAACTAATCCGTCAAAAGTTGTTACTCAGAAATAATTAGAAACTCACTCTGTTCTTAAAAGCCCAAAGCAGAATGTCATGTCCACTCCATTAGAAAAATAGAAGAAACAAAAGTGAAAAAAAAAATGGCTGAAGTAGATATAAAAATGCCCAAACTGATGAGTGGTCCAAGAACTACAGATTAAAAGTAAGAGAGGATAAAGTGTTTACCAGTCAGGATAGCCAAAATTTGAAAGATGGGCAATGCCTATTGCAGGTTGAAGTGTGGGAAATAGACATTCTGAGATGTCTTTGGTGTCCAGTCTACATTTTATAGGCTTTCTACAAGAGCAGTGTGATCATATGTGTCCATACTTTGAACATGCATACTCTTTGGCCAAGAAGTTCTTCTTCTGGAAATATAACCAAGGAAATAGCCAGCTGTGCAGAGACATATGTACATGAGTGTTTATCACAGTATCATTTATAATACCAAAATATGGGAAACAATTTAAGTGTCCTTCAACTTGAGACTAGGTAAATAAATTAAGATACAGCTATACCGGGCAGCACCTGTGGCTCAAAAAGGTAAGGCGCTGGTTCCATATGCTGGAGGTGGCGGGTTCAAACCCAGCCCCGGCCAAAAAAAAAAAAAAAAAGATACAGCTATACCATTGAATACTGCACAGTCTCTAAAAAAGATAGACCTGCATGGAAAGCTATGCTTAGTATATTGTTAAGTTAAAAAAAAAAAAAAGATTAAGGACCAGCATGTAAATTGATTTCACTTATATTAAAATTAATATACTTATTATATATTATATATATTTTTTCAAAACTGAAGGGCATAAATATTTATATATGCCAAACCATTGACAGTAATAATTTCTGAAGGGAGGACTCTTCCGGCTTAATAACCTTTTGAATTCTTTTTTGATTGTTTGATTACAAAGTAATATTTCTATCTGAAAGGAAAACTCATTCGGACTGGGTTGTGAGGGAAGGACACAGAAAGAAAGTGCTCCTCCAACCTCACTCTGGCCTTGACCTTCCCACAGCCTCATACTACACATCCTCACCCAGAGACAACCACCAGGGACATTTTACTCTGTTTCCTTCTCGTTCTTACTTTGCTGTAATTGAGAGGTCTTATCATTTTGATCTTATTAGTAAAATACGTTTAAAGGTTTAGAAGGAAAACTAGTTCTGTGTGATCTGTAATAATAAAACAGCAAAAGCAGGAAGCTGCAGCACCCTACTCCACCTCGAACCCCCAAGTAGGAAACATGGCTCAAGTTGTGAACATATTTCTTCTGGCATTTATCACTAAAGTTTTTTTTTTTTTAAATTAAATCATAGCTGTGTACATTAATACTATCATGGGATACAGTGTGCTGTTTCTATATACAATTTGAAATACTTTCATCCAACTGGTTAACATAGCCTGCATGTCATTTTCTTAGTTACTGTGTTAAGAAATTTATATTCTGGCTCGGTGCCTGTGGCTCAAGCGGCTAAGGCGCCAACCACATACACCTAAGGTGGCGGGTTCAAATCCCCAGCCCGGGCCCGCCAAACAACAATGATGGCTACAACCAAAAAAATGGCCAGGCATTGTGGCGGGTGCCTGTGGTCCCGGCTACTTGGGAGGCTGAGGCAGGAGACTCGCTTGAGCCCAGGAGTTGGAGGTTGCTGTGAGCTGTGATGCCATAGCACTCTACCCAGGGGGACAGCTTGAGGCTCTGTCTCAAAAAAAAAAAAAAAAAAGACATTTATATTCTACCTTTAGGAAGATTCACATGTACCTTTATAGGATGAACCATAGGTGTGATCCCAGCAATCACCCTCCCTGTACCCATCCTCCCCCCTCCCCTCCCCTCCCTCTCCCCTTTCCCTATATTCTTGGGCTAAAATTGAGTTATAGCTTTCCTATGAAAGCTATACATTAGTTTCATAGTAGGGCTGAGTACATTGGATACTTTTTCTTCCATTCTTGAGATACTTTGCTAAGAAGAATATTTTCCAGCTCCATCCCTGTAAACATGAAGGAGGTAAAGTCTCCATCTTTCTTTAAGGCTGCATAATATTCCATGGGGTATATATACTACAATTTATTGATCCATTCATGGGTCAATGGGCTCTTGGGCTTCTTCCATGACCTAGCAATTATGAATTGGGCTGCAATGAACATTCTGGTACAAATATCTATCCAGAAGACCAAATGTCACCAAAGTTTGAAGTAACAGGCTCTAAGATTATTTCCTGGTTTTTCAATTTATGGCATTTTCTGTTGGCTTCCTACCATAATCCTAGATAAGGATTTAGTTATCTCATCTCTTCTCCCACCCCTCCTAACACACCCAGCTTCCATCCCCCCACTTCCTCTAATAGGAAAGTTACACTTTTTAATAGAATCGATAGTTACCTTATATTATTTTGACAAGTAACCATTGTTCATCGCCAAGTCACATGGTCTGATGTGAATACATTGATTTGCTTGTACAGCCTTTTGTTTTTCCAGAATTAACAAAGCCTTCTTCTTTGTTTTTTTCTATGAACCTATCAAGAAGGCAACTGCAAACATACCAATGGAATGTAGAACTCCTTATAAAATAACCCATCACAATCGTCATTTCATGGGTTGTGTGTGTAGAGCAATTCTTCCTGAAGCCCTCTTTCCTTTTTTTTTTTAAACTGTACTAATTTTCTCTAGACCAGCCAGACCACTGATCTGAAATTCTGATCGTTATATTGAGGCTGTGCCTTTTTTTTCATAATGGTGGCAAATATCCTCTAATAGCTTTCTAAGAAAGGGATTATTGTGGGGGGGAATGTTAGACAGAGTGAATATCTGAAAATCTTTATATGCTGGCCTCACTTCATCATTGGCTGAATATAGAATTCTAAACTATAAATATTTTTTTGCCAAATTTTTGGCAGTGTTATTCCATTGTCTTGTAGCTTCTAGTGTTGCCGCTGAAATTTTAAATTCCATTCTAATCCTTGATTCCTTATTATTTACTCCTGCAGAACTTTTTAAATAATAGCTTAATTGATGCATAATTTACAAATCATAAAATTCACGCTTTTAAATTACCTTTCAATGTATGTACTATCGTCTTTAGTATAGTCAGAGTTGTGCAACTATTTGCACCATCTAATTTTTTATTCTTTTATTTTTGGTAAAGACAAGGTCTCGCTGTTGCTCAGGCTGGAGTACAGTGGAATGAACTCCTAGGCTCAAGCAATCCCCCTGCATCAGCCTTCTAAGTAGCTAGGACTACAGGTTAATTTGTTTTTGTAGAGATGGGGTCTTTCTGTGTTGCCCAGGATGGCCTCAAACTCCTCACCTCAAGCAATCCTCCCACCTTAGCCTCCCAAAGTACTAGGACTGTAGGCAAGAGCTACTGTGACAGGCCCGTTTTCGAACACTCTTGTCCCCCTAAAAGAAACCCATACCCATTAGCAGTCACTTCCCATTCTTCCTCTGCCCCTGGTCTTGAGCAACCACTAGTCTGTATTCTGTCTCTGTAGATTTCCCTGGAGACTTGATATAAATGGAATCACATACTGTGTGGCCCTTTGTGACTATGTGACTTTGATTTAGTGTACTGTTTTCAAAGTTCATTCACTCTATCGTATAATTTATAGTTGAATAGTATTCCATTGTGTGGGTATACACATACCATAGTTGTTTTTATATTCATCAATTGACCATTTAGGTTGTTTCAACTTTCTGTCTATTACGAATATCTTATATGAAAATTCATGTACAGGCTTTCATGGGGAAATATGTTTTCATTTCTCATGGAACAGAATTTCTGGGCCATATGTGATTCTATGTTTCAAATTTTGAGGAGCTGCCAGGTTGTTTTTCAAAGTTGCTGCACCATTTTATAGTTCTAACGACAATTGTAGGGCTGCAATCTTTCACATCATTGTCATGACTTGTTACCGATTTGTTCATTTTAGCCATCCTAGTTGGTGTGAAGTGGTGTCTCACTGTGGTTTTAAGTAATAACTAATAATATTGAGCTTTTACCTAGTGGTACTTACCGTTTTTCTGTTCTTATTGGCTATCTGCCTTTGAAGAAATGTCTATTCCAATCCTTTGCTCTTTTTTAATTGGGTTGTCATTTTATTGATGAATTGTAGGAGTTTTTTTTGTATTCTACGTACAAGTCCCTTATCAGATATATTATTTGTAAAAACTCAATTCATTCCAGGGGTTGTCTTTTCACTTTCTAGATGGTATCCTTTGAAGCCCAAAAGTTTTTAATTTTTATGAAGTCTAAATTATTCCTTTTGTCACTCGTGCTTTTCTTGTCATATCTAAGAAACCATTGTCTAATCCAAAGTCACAAAGATTCACTAATGTTTTCTTATAAGAGTTTTATATATTAGCTCTTTATATTTAGGTGTTTTACTCATTTAGAGTTAATTTTTGTGTATGGTATGAAGTAGAACTCCAACTTCATTTTTTTACATGTTCATATCCACTTGTCCCTATACTATTTGTTAAAAAGAATATTCTCTCTCCTTTGAATTGTCTTGGTGTCCTTGTGAAAGCACAATTGATCATAAAGGTGAAGGGTTATTTCTGGACTTTTAACTCTCTTCCATTGATTTATACTTACATCCTTATGCCAGTACCATAAAGTTTTACTTACTATAGCTTTGTAGTAAGTTTTAAAATTAGGAAATGTGTGTCTTCCAACTTTGTTCTTCTTTGTTTTTAATCTCTAGAATTTTATGGGGGTGTGTGTGTTTGTTTTATTTTGTTTTGTGACAGTGTTAGGCTGGTGGAATGCCGTGGTGTCACAGCTCATAGCAAACTCAAACTCTTGGGCTCAAATGATTCTCTTGCCTCAGCCTCCCAAGTAACTGGGACTACAGGCACCTGCCACAACGCCCAGCCATTTTTAGACACAGGGTCTCACACTTGCTCAAGCTGGTCTCGAACTCCTGAGCTCAAGCAATCCACTCACCTTGGCCTCCCAGAGTGCTAGGATTACAGGCATGAGCCACCATACTGCCTTTGTACCCTGTTTTTCTGAAATTTCAATGTGAGCTACCTTAATGAGCACCTTTTACTTACATTCATTGTTTTAGATACTAAATAGGTCGTGTTAGTGTGAAAACCCATACTTTGGGACTGAGGAATTTCCTTGTATTTTAATTTTGGCAATTTCTTCCTCTCTGTGTGTGTGTTTTTCTTTTTCTTTTTTCTGAGTTTTCTGTTTGTCAGATGTTGAGCTCCTGGGGTTTAGCCTCTAATTTTTAAATCTTGTCTCTCGTATTGCACCTCAAGTTATTTTTGATCTGCTTTATGGGATATTCCCTTAAATTCAACCTTCAATTGCATTGGGATTTTTAAATTGGGGCCATCATATTTCTAATGTCCAAGTGATGCCTTATTCCTTTTTTTTACAATACCCAGCTCTTATGTCATAAATGTGATTATCTTCATAAAGATATGATAGCACTTTCTAATCTGCTTTGTTGAGGTATAATTATACTGAGCATCTTTTCAAGTATTTATTGGCCATTCAAGTATCTTCCTCTGTGAAATATTGCAATCTTTTGCTCATTTTTGAAAACTGGATTTCTGTCTTCCTATGATTGAATTGTGAGAATTCTTTCCACATTTTAGATGTCTTTAGTCATATACATCACAAATAATTTTTTCTGATCTGTGACTTTGCCTTTTCGTGTTCTTAAAGGTATCCTTTGAAGAGCAGCCAACTTTGCGTCCAATATATCTATTCTTTCATAGTCTGTGATTTTTGTGTTCTGTGTAAGAAATCTTTGGCTAGCCCAAAATTGTAAAGATTTTCCCTTAGGCCCAACAGACATGCATACTCTACCATGTTTGGAATTATTCTAAAACATCTTCATCATCTGTTCCTTCCTTCTCCCCGATGTTTCCTAGTTACATCTGTAGCCTCTGTTATGATCTAACAATCCTTTAATGCCTCTCCCATGACTGGTTCCAATAAAAATCCTTACTACCTGTACTATTCTTATATGATTTTTACTTACCTTGAATTTTCTTTTTCTTCAAGTTTCAGAGGGAAATAAAGAAGTTTAGGGTCTAAGCTCATTTGTTAATTTTTTGTTCTTTTGTACAAAAAGTCTGTCTGCCCACCCTGGGCCCTGGCTCTAGCAGTGGGGCACTCACAGGGTCTCTGTGTGCTTCAAGTCTGGTGTGGAAGGTTGAACATGGTGTGTGCTAAGTGCAGGCTGTCTTGCACACGCTTTCTCTTCCAAATTCTGAATTATTGAGAACTTGACGCTGAAGTCTGATGTGGTCAAAGGATGAGATTTGTTTCTGGGAAAGCGGGGGTAGAGAATGTGGCTTCCACCCAAGATCACACAGATCTCTTCCTCCCCCGTCCCATTAAATTTACCTGCAGGTAATGCACAAAGCAGCTGCATTAGATACATGCCTCAGAATGGGCAGGGGTGCTGACTACCAGGGGAATATGGGAACCCAGAAGAAAGCTTCAGAGCCACCGATAGACGGGTCCCCAGACAGCCAAGGTCGAGCCATGCTACTCTCATCACACACACCTCTCTCCTCCCCACCTTTCCAAACAGAGACACAAATTAAGCCGTAGGGAAGAGGCAAATAAAAGAGCAGGGGCTTTTCCTTAGACAGAAGTTTTGATTTTATAAACTCAACCAGCAGCCGGCCAAATGATTTCAAAAACAAAGATTCTAAAAAATTCTTTAGAAAGTTGTATAGTTTAAAAAAAAAAAAAAAGTTCTATTTGACATGGTCTGTGGGTATATGCTATGTGATGGGGCCCCTGAAAGCCAGAGTGCTGCTCAACATGTGTTCCAGGGACCAGCTGCCATTTGTCATAGTAAACAACAAAATCAGAGTTCGTGCCAGGATGAAAATCAGCTGCATTATCAAGGGCATCGTTCATTGAGCTGACGTCTTTGTTTTGTAGCAAGAGTTTCTGGATAAAGGAAGCAGAGAGCAGATTTGTATATGTGCTGGCACGTGTTTTTTACCTAGTCATGAGCTGGCACTTTGAGTAGCACCGGCCTAATGCTTCTTGATGTCTCTGATCCCCTCTACCCACAGTGCAGCGGTGGCAGGTAGTGGGCAGGCTGGGGTGCTGAGGCATGGTGAGCCTGACCCTGGTTATGTCCCTGGCCAGGTGATCGCCATGATCAAAGGCCTGCAGGTGCTCATGGGCAGGATGGAGAGTGTCTTCAACCAGGCAATCAGGAACACCATCTACGCAGCCCTGCAGGACTTTGCCCAGGTGACACTGCGTGAGCCCCTCCGGCAGGCAGTGCGGAAGAAGAAGAACGTCCTTATCAGGTGGGTGTACAGATGGTCCCTTTCAGGGAAACATCAAAAATAAGTAGAGCTAAGTCCATGCTGGAGGGAGGTTCCCGCTTGGTCAGTTTCTAGGTTAGCCTCACAGATCCTTCCAGTGAGTTCCAGGGGCCTCTGTAGGAGCGTGGACATTTGAGATGAATGAAGCCTTCCTGTCTGGGTTCGAAGCCCCTGTGCACACCCTGTCTAGAACTTACTCAAGTTCCTGGCCTTCTCCAAACCTCAGTCTTCCTCATTTGTAAAACGGGGATGATAGTGGTGCCTACTTCACCGCCCATTGGGATGATGAAATGAGGTAATCCACGTGTAGACCTAAGCACATGGCAGCATGGGGTTGGTGTGCAGTACATATAAGCTTTGATTAAAACTTCAAATATGCGGAGATTTGATGAGACTCCCCTATACAAAAAAAGGAAAAATAATCATCCTGCCTCACCCTAGTTCTTTCTCACTTCATGGGCTCAGAGCTGAGTTTGCAGACATCCAGCAGGCGTCAGAACCCTGTGGGAAACTTGTTAAAATGCAGGTTTCTGGACTGTACCTTAAATCTGTTAAACCAGCATCTTGGGGAATGGGGGTTCAGGAATGAGAGTGCTTCACAGCATCCTGGAATTCTAATGCAGGTGGTCCTCGAACACTGGGGGCCCAAGAGACACAGGTTTGTAGTGTATCCTGCCCATGGTGAGACTAGTCTGAGTCTCCATTTTTCCTTCCCCAGTGTCCTGCAGGCAATCCGGAAAACCATCTGTGACTGGGAGGGAGGGCGAGAGCCCCCCAATGACCCATGCTTGCGAGGGGAGAAGGACCCCAAAGGCGGCTTTGACATCAAGGTGCCCCGGCGTGCTGTGGGGCCATCTAGCACCCAGGTAAGCAGCTCCAGGCAGAGGCCAGCCTTATTGACTCAGAGGCCAGCTGGGCCATGGCAGGATGATGGGGCCCCTCGGTCAGGAGGGGCAGGGTTGAGCAGCTGCTCTGGTCTTATTCTGTGGTCTTGTTTTGGTAAAGGTAGAGGACCACTTGCTTAAGATTCAGGAGACCTGGATTCTAGCCCAATACCTGTGTGACCTTGGGGACATTACATAATCTCTCTGTGCCTCAATTGTCTAATCTGGCCAATAGGGATACTACTATATCCATCTATCCTGGCTGTCTTCTAGCTCTATGAAGATTCCAAAGTGCAGGAGAGTTTACAGTGGAATCTGTCCCTCTTAAGTAAGCCCTGGCCCCTTTCCCTGCAGTGACATCCTATCTTGAAAATTCATAAGTTCTGCCTCTGACTTGCTGTGTAATCTTGGGCAAGTACCTTGACCTCTCTCAGCTCTGATTATCTTCACTGTAAAATGAAAATTTTGGATGTGATCATATGACAAAACACCTGTTATTCCCCATGTCCTCCCCAAAGTGCAAGTATTGGAAGCCCTTGAAAGTCTAGTCTCAGAAATATTCACTTGCCAGGTGGAGCATCCCTACATTAAAGAGGTTCCCTGTGCCTAATCTAACTCCATCATAAAATTGTAGAGAAGAAAGTGAATCATCTGGGCATCCTAGCTGAATCCTTACCACCTACTTAAGGATGAACAGTTTCTGGTAACCTTGCTAAAGCATTGAAAAAGCAAATGAATCCCATTATAGCTTTAAGGGTCTTACTAACCCCAGAAGCCCCAGGCTGAGAACTCTTGCTTCATGTGACCTGAATGCCCCTCTCTGCCCTGGGTCCTCTGAGGCCCACCCCTGACCCTCCTCACTGTGTGTGTGTCTGTGTCGGGGCAGGGGCTGGGGGCCAGGGCAGGGGTGAGGTGGGTTCCAGCAAGTTTATCATCACTTGCCCTGGCTTCACAGCCCTCCGCCTGATTGCATGACTCTCCCCCACGGGTTATTGAGCATTCCATGGAAGCATCTACAAAGATCTGTGGAATATCAAGGGTCAGAGACCTCTCCAGCCCAGAATGTCCTGGGGGGCGCTGACGGGCTGGTAGGTGTTTCTATAACTCCTAAGGCATGAGGAAGAGAGAAGGCACAAGAAAAACTGGAAAGGAGGATGAAAGTGGGGAGGAATGTGTATTTGCATAGCTAATGTGAGAGGGGAGGGTTAACAATGACCTCCCCCAGACACCACCAAGTCACGCCAGGTGGGATAGACATATTTAATAGATTCCTAGACAGCTGAAGCTAGAAGAGCACTTAGAAAAAAATAACCGAGTCCCCCCCTTTACATTAAGATGGGGAAACTGAGGTCCAGAGAGGGGAAGTGACTTGTCTAAGTCACAAGATGAGTCCCAGGTGGAGGTGGGACAAGAACCCAGGTCTCCTGACTCCCACCCAGGGCTCTGTCACAGCTTTCAGAACACAGTGGACATGGGTGTCTCCCACAGCTGGGATATATCGACTGTTCTGGTGAATTAAATGCTCTGTTAAATAAAAGTAGGTGGGGACAGAGTTCACCCTCTTATGAGCTTTTCAAATAGTTAAGAGTAAGCTGGTCAGCACCCACAGCAGATTAGACTCTGTGAATCCTTTCTTTGAAGACGTGGAAGGCAGTCATGAGAAGAGTGCGTCTAGACTCCCAGGGACGTTGAGAGGCACCCACTGGCAGGGCCCGCAGACAGTGGGCTGGCTGATGAGCCAACAGCCAGGTGGACCCTTGACCATGAAGGGAAGCCCCGTGGCAGGGACGGTGTGTCACGTGCTTCTGTGGCTGCACTGCTCACAGCAGTGCCAGGCATGTGGCGGGGTCGATGCCAGAGCAGAGGCAGAGGCAGCAGAGGTGAACGCGGTTGCTGGGAGGTTGGAGCATCTCAGTGGCCTCTAGCAGTCGCGGCGGCTTTCCCATCGTATACAATACCTCTTGCTTTTCTCTCTCTCTCTCTCTTTCTTTTTCTCTCTCTCCCTCTTCCCTGTCTCTCCTGCCCTCCCATCCCTCTTCCTTCTCTCCTATCTATGTCTTAGGCCTGCCAGTGGTCCCCGAGGGCTTTGTTTCACCCCACTGGTGGCACACAGGGCCGAAGAGGCTGCCGATCCCTGGTATAACACCGCCTGGCGGGGTTGGTTTGGGTACCCTTCCGAGGAGGCAGCAGGAATGGACTAGCCTGGCTCCTCAAGGCCCCTTCCAGCCCTAAGATTCACAGACAAATGATGTGGAAAGATCTAGATTAGCAAAGAGAACAAGCCCACCGCACTTGCATCCTTTGCACTTAAGGCACTCTGTAAGCAGGAGTTAATTGCCTAGTAGCCTCCTGTGTAAGTACCAATATTCACCTGCTTTGCATCTAGGATTTCGGCAGGCTGTGCCACACAGCTGATGCCACCAGGGGGCGCCAACGCTCAGTAATGGAGTCAAAGCGCTGAGGGCATGAAACTTAAAGTGTGGGAGGGGGATTCATTCTGATCCTACCCCATTTCACAGTTCCTCAGAGTATTAGAGCTGAAAGGGACTGGTGTGAGAAAGTATCTGGTGCAGTCCCCTTTGCGTTAGATAAGACAACTGAGGCCCAGAGTGGGGACTTTGTTGCCTCAGGTCACACAGCAAGTCAGTGGCAGTGCCTGGCGTTGAACCCTGGTCTTTTGACTCCCAGTTCAGCACTACACCCATGGCACCTGTGGCCATCTCCTCTGATGCCCACGCCCTTGGCCAAGCAGAGCAGGCAAGAGCCTCTTACTGGGCCTTGAGTGACCTGCCCAGGGATGTTGCAGAGCCCTGAACAGAACTTCCTGCCTGGGCTGGCCAATCTCCCTCTTGAAGGTTTTCATGGTTCCAGGCCTAAACTGGCGCTTCCTTAAGACAATGCTTTTTAAGAGCAGACATCTGCAGAAAAAAAGAAAAAAATAAATACAGCACAAAGCAACCTTCCCCCCTGTGATGGAGGGTCGGCTTCTGACCTTCTCATCTTTCTTCCTTTTTCAAGCTGTACATGGTACGGACCATGCTGGAGTCACTCATCGCAGACAAAAGTGGCTCCAAGAAGACCCTGAGAAGCAGCCTGGACGGCCCCATTGTGCTGGCCATAGAGGACTTCCACAAACAGTCCTTCTTCTTCACACACCTGCTCAACATCAGTGGTGAGCCACAGTGCCCAGGCACAGGACGAGAGAACCAGGGCCCCAGCTCCCAGAGCGGCTACATCCGCCGGGCTAGAAGTTGCAGAGAGCCATGATTGTTGACCCAAAGGGGTATAATTTTGCCACCAAAGGGAACATATACACTTTCCTGTAGACCTTAAGAGCTAAAAAGGCCAGGCTCAGTCCAGCCATTCTGACTTAGCTAAATTTGTCTGAGAGATACTTATGGCTAATTTATACTGAAGTCCTTAATAGAAGGGGATTACAAACAGGAATTCACACCTACGGACACAACTGGGCACTAGATCAGCCTGGTGCTCCTCAGCAGCAGCCAGCAGCTGGTCAGCACTTGTTGCTGTAGCCGAGGAGGCTCCCAGGCTATGTCCTGGTCAGTGTCCTGGTCCCGTGTCCCTCGTTCTTCCTCTCCTTTTAGAAGGATGTGCATCCAAGTGGCGCTGAATAGAGCAGAGGAAGGGTAGCGTCCCAGGGACATGAGGTCTTAATAGGGTCTATTGGTAATAAAAAGGTGATCTTCACAGTGTGAACTTCCCCATTAGCTGGTAGCCAGAAGTTTGAGTCCTCCCAACCTCCCAATCTTGTGCAGGATGTGGGAATTCCCATACAGAAGAGGTGGGGGAGCCACCGTCCAGCTAAAGCCAGCACTTGGGGGCTGTCTCAACAGTGTGTGTGTATAGCGAGCACACTTTTTATGCTTAGATTTCCAGTTTTCAGGATGGCTTTATGGAGTGATGATGGAAATAATAGGGGAATCTAAAGCTCTAAAAATTTTCCCCCGTACCCCCACATGACCGCTGTCTCAGAAGCTTACCAAATGCTATTTTCCAGGTAGACATTAAGCCTGCCTTCGGGTACAAAAGAACAGGGTCACTGCCATGTACCTAGCAAGCACAGTGACAATACCAACAGTAAAAATTAATGCCAACAACAGGAACGGAGACCTTTTGGAGCTTTCTATGTGTAACCTGAGACCCGCTCCCTTGTGCTTGCAGAGGCCCTGCAGCAGTGTTGCGACCTCTCCCAGCTTTGGTTCCGAGAGTTCTTCCTGGAGTTAACCATGGGCCGGCGAATCCAGTTCCCCATTGAGATGTCCATGCCCTGGATTCTAACGGACCATATCCTGGAAACCAAAGAACCTTCCATGATGGAGTAAGAGGCAGGATTTGGCCAGCAGGAGGTTCCCGGGGTGCAGGTGGAAGATAGTTTTCCAGCAAGTTCTGTGCTTTCCAGACAGAAGTACTGAGCTCACTAGAGATAAGGCAGTGTGCCCCAGTCAGGGGGCAGCCCAAGCTGGGGGTCGAGCCACACAAGATCCTTTGACTCAGCCAGGTAGACAGAGTCACAAGTTTCCCACCCAACAGCCTTTCCTATACTTTTGTCAGTGTGTCATAAGAGCTCTGCTCATGAAGCCATCATCTCTGGGGATCAGAAAGCTAAAATCCTTAATTGCCACAAATTTATTATTAATGACTTTAGTCCTAGATAGATTTTTGCTGTCCTTGGTTTTATGTCATCATGGATTTTGGGCCTGCTGTAAAATAAGTCTTTCTCAAGTGTTGGAAGCCCTGGAAACAACAGATAGGGCCCAAGTTTGTCTTTCCTAACTCTGCACTGGATTTCATTTCCCAAGCAAGTAAAACTCTGTGCTCCTTAACCTTTGACTGCAAACAGTGCCTCTAGGTTCAAATAACACACTCATTTGGTATTAAGGACGCTGTTAGGGCTTCAGTACAAGATGTTTGTTTATGTTCAACAAGGCCGTAGGCATGTTTTGTTCCTGAGCCCCTCAGCAGTCAGGGGGTAAGAAAGGTCCCAAGTAAGCCACTGGCTGCCGTTTTTCCCTCTCCAGGTACGTCCTCTACCCTCTGGATCTGTACAACGATAGCGCCTACTATGCTCTGACCAAGTTTAAAAAGCAGTTCCTGTACGATGAGATCGAGGCCGAGGCAAGTGATGGCTTCTCCTTTTGTCCCTGTGACCTTGTCCTGAGATTCTGGACTTTTTCAAATTGCTGGTTATTAGCACAAAGTGGGGGATTGGTGCCTTCCTATAGAGACTGCTCTTCATAACCATCGTGATCCTCAGAAAGGGGACCTGTGTGACATTTGAGAGTCCAGGTAGAGGTGCAAATTGGGACACCCAGCGCATAGCCTGGTCCCTTCCTTTTCCCGTCCCCAGACTCTTTTCTGCACCATGTGTGTAGACACTCAAGCTCTGCCTACGACTTCTGCTCAGAAGTAGTGGTTGCTTGGCTGTTGCTAAAAAGGGCTCCCACAGCGGCAGTGCCACCCATGCACATAACTTCCTCATCTTGCCCTTTCATCTTACTTTACCTTGCTTTGCAAATTTGGTTATGAAGAAGTTAATAGTCATTAGACATTCCAAAGCTTTTCTCAAACTTCACTTAAATAGTTTTCAAACTTTGCTGTTGACTAACTAAAGACCCTGAGAGCAAGGGAGGTGAAGCCGAGGGGAGACCACAAGGCTCCTGACAGCTGGTTCTAGAAAGTGAGAACTTTGACCCTGTAGATTCTATGCCTGGAAGAGGGTCCACTGGGGACCCTTGAAGCTCAGAGGCCTCAGTTCCCTGGATATGAAGAAAGCAGTACATTCAGCACTGTTTTTGCACTCTGTGTAATACATGGGACATAAAAGATAAAAAGGATTTCTGAATAGTTAACGGAGCCAAGGATGTGGTGTGGAAAGAATCAGAGATGAATTGGGTAGATGTGTTCTGCCTCTTTTGTATTTTTTATTTTATTTTATTTTATTTTATTTTATTTTTTGAGACAGAGTCTCACTTTATCACTCTCGGTAGAGTGCTGTGGCATCACAGCTCAGAGCAACCTCCAATTCCTGGGCTTAGGTGATTCTCTTGCCTCAGCTGCCCGAGTAGCTGGGACTACAGGCACTCGCCACAATGCCCGGCTATTTTTTTGTTGCAGTTTGGCCAGGCCGTGTTGGAACCCGCCACCCTTGGTATATGGGTCTGGCGCCCTACCCGTTGAGCCACAGGTTCCTCCCTATTCTGTCTCTTTTAGTGTTGCACTCGTACCCATGGCCTGTTACAGCTGTCCCTTTGAAGTCCCACACTTGGCCAGTTTCTGCTCTTGCCAAATCGGAAGATTTGGTTTGATTCTGTCTGGTGTGAAATTATCTTTCCACCTGATCACCACTTTATCATAAAAATGGGAAGGCCCATTCATTAAAAAACCAAGCTATTTAAGCAAAGTTTGAAAAAAGCTTTGGAATGTCTAATGACTATCAACTTCTTCATAACCAAATTTGCAAAACAAGGTAAAATCAGATGAAAGGGCAAGACGAGGAAGTTATCAGAGAGATGGATGGGGAGGCTGCCGTTGGCCGACTAATAGGAACAATTGCAGGATCTCAGGAAGGCCTGTCTCTTTTCATGACACTGAGAAGCGGGCAGGAGGGAGGTCGTTCCTCAACAGGCTTTTTGAACTTTACCTTCTCTGTTGACTAACTGAAGACCCTGAGAGCAAGGGACCAAACTTAACTTGACCACAGAATCTTCTTTTTCTTCAAAGCACCTTGCCCCAGAACACGGCTTTGGGCAGTTGTCCTGAACTGCCCTCTTTCAGCTGCCTGGATTTCTGTAATAAAGCAGGACGGACACCACTAACCTGTCCCACTTCCTCTTCCCCAGGTGAACCTGTGTTTTGATCAGTTTGTCTACAAGCTGGCAGACCAGATCTTTGCCTACTACAAAGCGATGGCCGGCAGGTATGAGAGCCCCAGTGCTGTGAGCAACAATCTTTCTTAAGACTGACACCTGGAGGACTTGGATTCCTCTTTTTCCCTAGCACCACAGGAAAATGGGGCCATTCCACAGGCCTGGACTGGGTGCTAGAGGTAGTGAAGGGGCAGCTGGGCAGATCCACTGCTAACTTCACTGAGCCTACATCCTAGCAGGGAAGACAGACTGTGATTAAAAACCGATAAGTGCCCTCTGACAAGGGACGTCATGTGCTCTCTATGGGGGGAAAGTATATGGGAAAACATGACGCTTAGGCCTGAGCTGCTGTTTGAGATTGGGAACGACAAACGCTGTCGGGAGAACACAGCATCTGAATTCTTATCTGAAGCTGATAGGAGTTTAGTAAAACTAGCTGAAGGAAGGGCAGGAAATTGCATGCAAAGTCCCTGTGGTGCAAGTCTGATGATAGCTTGTCCACCTCAGGGGCTATTGAGGATTCACGTGAGTTGATACAGGAACACATCTCACACATGAGCACGCGAGGGGCAGCCTGCCTGATAAAGCTGGAGAGGACGGCAGGGCCAGATCACACTCCCTGTAGGCATTTGTCTGAGAGGGAGTGGCACAGAATGCTTTCAAAAGTACAGTGGTGACCCAATTCAGTTTCTGTTTGTATTTATTTTTGAGACAGTGTCTTACTCTGTTGCCCTGGGTAGAGTATCGTGGAGTCATCAGAGTTCACAGCAACCTCAAATTCTTGGGGCTCAAGCAATCCTCTTACCTCAGCTTCCTGAGTAGCTGGGACCACAGGTGCCTACCACAATGTCCAGCTAGTTTTTCTG